AATTTTGGTTGTAATTTTTGCCCCAATCTAAGCTCTGAATTAAAAAAAAAAAAGAATAAAATAAATGAAGGTAGAAAAGAGAAGGGGGAGGAAGGAGAACTAAACAGATATTTCTCCAAAGAAGACATACAGATGGCTAACAAACACAAGAAAAGATGCTCAACATCACTCATTATCCAAGAAATGCAAATCAAAACCACAATGAGGTACCATCTTAAGTGGGTCAGAATGGCTGCTATCAAAAAATCTATAAAAAATAAATGCTGGAGAGAGTGTGGAGTAAAGGGAACCCTCTTACACTATTGGTGGGAATGCAAACTAGTATAGCCACTATGGAGAACAGTGTGGAGATTCCTTAAAAAACTGGAAGTAGAACTGCCATATGAACCAGTAATCCCACTGCTGGGCATACACACTGAGGAAACCAGAACTGAAAGAGGCACGGGTACCCCAAATTTCATCGCAGCACTGTATACAATAGCTAGGACATGGAAGACACCTAGATGTCCGTTGGCAGACGAATGGGTAAGAGTTGAGGTACATATACACAATAGAATATTACTTAGCTATCAAAAAGAACACATTTGAGTCAGTTCTAATGAGATGGATGAAACTGGAGTCTCTTATACAGAGTGAAGTAAGACAGAAAGAAAAACACCAATACAGTATATTAACACATACATATGGAATTTAGAAAGATGGTAACGATGACCCTATGTGCAAGATAGCAAAAGAGACACAGATATAAAGAACAGGCTTTTGGACTCTGTGAGAGAAGGTGAGGGTGGGATGATTTGAGAGAATAGCATGGAAACATGTATATTGCCGTATGTGAAAATAGATGTCCTGTGCAAGTTCAATGAATGAAACAGGGCACTCAAACCCAGTGCACTGGGATAACCCAGAGGGATGGGATGAGGAGGGAGGTAGGAGAGGAGTTCACCATCGGGGGACACATGTGGCTGATTCATGTCAATGTGTGGCAAAAACCACCACATTATTGTAAAGTACTTAGACTCCAATTAAAATAAATTAATTAATTAAAAAATAAATAAATGCAAGTATCTCTTACTCTATGGTGTTTGAAAACCAGTGGATAGTTACTGCCATCACTATGAATAATACATTTTAGAAATACCATCAGAGAAGAAGTAATTCCAATCTTCCTCTGGCTTTTATGATGGTAGGTCTGGTCACTGTAACATGTATAATTTTCTTCAGTTGTGAATCCAGCTACTCACTGTATTTGCTTTGTAACACATTTCTAATGAAGCTATTGAATTTTTATGGAGGTTATTTATTTATGAAAAATTCTGTGGCTTAAAACACTTTTCTTGTAACTGGTACTTAGAAGGAGAATTAGACTTAAAATCTAACTAAGTTGTAAAATTCTTAAAGTGGCTGCATTCCACTTTTTTGTATACTTATCCCCCAAATTTATCATTCAAGTGGCTTTGATTCCAGGAATCAGGATCCCTTTGTAGATCTCTCTAATTAATAGTGTTTAATTTTTTTAAAAATACCTTAATCTATAAAAAGCATATGATTTGTTCTTCCTTTTGGTTTCCTTTTTACAATATCAATTCCTATCCTCCTCTGTAAAGGTAGAAAATAAATGGAGAGGGTAAATATATTTCTGTTCATTTTCTCTTGAGGAAAAATGGATAAAAGCCTTTGTTTATCCATCAGGGCTGAGCTAAAGAGATTCTACCACCTGTCAGAAGTAGTGACAGAAACATGTAACAATGTAGAAACCTGAGAGATATAGGGAGGGTTTCAGCAGAAAATTGAGACTATGAATATGAGGTGGGATGGAGGGCAGTTCTGAATGTGCAAATAAGAGCAGCTTTTCAGCTGTTTCAGAGTTGGACTTTTATAACATCTTTGAATCACTTTGAATTGACTGCTCCTAATCAGAAAACACTCAGTTGCAAAGCATGCCTTGTCAAAAATGCATTCCAAGATGAAATATAAATGTCTTATGGGTTATCCTTGCTACTGTCCTCTGTTGGGCCAGATTGGTGAGAGCTGACTCTAGTTCAGTTTCTTTTTTTTTTATTTTATTTTATTTTATTTTATTAGTTGGAGGCTAATTACTTTACATCATTGCAGTGGTTTTTGTCATACATTGAAATGAATTAGCCATGGATTTACATGTGTTCCCCATCCCGATCCCCCCTCCCACCTCCCTCTCCACCCGATCCCTCTGGGTCTTCCCAGTGCACCAGGCCCGAGCACTTGTCTCATGCACCCAACCTGGGCTGGTGATCTGTTTCACCCTAGATAATATACGTGTTTCAATGCTGTTCTCTTGAAACATCCCACGCTCGCCTTCTCCCACAGAGTCCACAAGTCTGTTCTATACATCGGAGTCTCTTTTTCTGTTTTGCATATAGGGTTATCGTTACCATCTTTCTAAATTCCATATATATGTGTTAGTATACTGTAATGGTCTTTATCTTTCTGGCTTACTTCGCTCTGTATAATGGGCTCCAGTTTCATCCATCTCATTAGAACTGATTCAAATGAATTCTTTCTCCAAGGAAGACATACAGATGGCTAACAAACACATGAAAAGATGCTCAACATCACTCATTATCAGAGAAATGCAGATCAAAACCACAATGAGGTACCATTACACACCAGTCAGGATGGCTGCTATCCAAAAGTCTACAAGCAATAAATGCTGGAGAGGGTGTGGAGAAAAGGGAAGCCTCTTACACTGTTGGTGGGAATGCAAATTAGTACAGCCACTATGGAAAACAGTGTGGAGATTTCTTAAAAAGCTGGAAATAGAACTGCCATATGACCCAGCAATCCCACTTCTGGGCATACACACCGAGGAAACCAGATCTGAAAGAGACACGTGCACCCCAATGTTCATCGCAGCACTGTTTATAATAGCCAGGACATGGAAGCAACCTAGATGCCCATCAGCAGACCAATGGATGAGGAAGCTGTGGTACATATACACCATGGAATATTACTCAGCCATTAAAAAGAATTCTAGTTCAGTTTCTTGCAATAAGAAATACAGATTTTTTTAAGTGAGAAAAATTTCTTTAGAAATTGACATTTTATTCATTTGAAATTAAAATGGGTGATGCTAACTTCTGAATCATCTAGGTTTCCATATGAATATTAAATATTTGATTTGCAATTAAAAGAAAAACTTTCATGTGTAAAGTGATGTTTTACTGGTGTTGGAGTAGCAGCGAAGAGGCAGGGCTGCAACAACAGCCTTTACTGGAGGAAAGCACTGCTATGAGTTATCTTGATCCCCAAAGCCTGGGTATTCAAAAGAAACAAAAAGGGGAAGAGACATTGCAAAAGAAACAAGAATATTAACATTGCATCACAGGACCTCCAATGCATACAGTCTTCTCAGAATGTATAACATTTTATGTATATTTTGCAAACAGAAGTAAAGCTAAGACTAACATAAAGCTCATTATCATAAATCAACATAAGAATAAAATACTAAAATGATAGCAAAATTAAAAATGGCATTTGGGACAGAAATTTAGCTGAAACTTTAACAGGTGCCAGAAAAAAAAATTGTATATACAAATAAGTTGAAACAGAACATATTTTTAAATTGCCTGAAGAACACCTGATTTTATTCAACATTAAGATCAAAACAATGAACTTTTAAAGCATTTTTCTTCTGACTCAATAGATCATAAAATCAGAAAAAGTAAAGTTTTGTCAAGATGAGACAGTGCCCATTTATTCTAATTGATTAGAAAAAAAAATGTGTCTGTTGTTAGACACTGTTCTGCTTCCATGATTATGTTGGGCAAAAGTTGATGTACATATTGGGAAAAAAAACTTCACAGCCACCTATTTTTACTTAATTTCAAAGCAATTTCCCAGGAAAATAAGACATATCAAAATTAAAACAGCAGCAAGGAAATCGTTTACTAAGGTGAAGCTGAGGAAAGCAAAAGTAAAAGCAGTTGTCGAAAGCGGCAGAAGCTCATGAAGTTAAGCTGCTCTGTCACATACCATCAATTGGACCATTATCTGGTGCAGGAGGGCTGTAATAAATTGTCAGATTTGCTTCTTAGCTGAAATGACGGGATGGAAATTGTGCTGTGCATATTGAGTGTTGGGTAGGAGTGGGGAGAATGAGTATATCAGATTTGCCCACATGTAAGACCTACAGTGATTGACAGTCTGTCACTAGGCATAGAGTTTCTTCAAATAAATTATAACTTGGGAATCTGGATATTGTGATTCTTAAGGACCAAAAGATCAAATAAAAAGAAAATGCTATTAACAGTGGCAAGAAATATTTACTTTTCCTTTTTTGAGACATATTCTGATTTTAATTCTGCAAAATAGTTTATGCTTCAGATTCTCCTTTTCTTTTAGATAAGTATTATTTGAGAGCAGTTTACATACTTATCTATGACAGCTTCCTAGTCATTCACTATAACAGCAATATTACTTCAGTAATATTTTTCCTGTTTATATCTTCTGCATTTCAAAAGGCAGCAATGGCATATGGGAAAAAAAAATGGGGCTGGGTTGGAAGTTAGATGACCTGGTTTCTATTCTAGATCCTAGAATATAGAAGATGCTTAATAGCTGTTAGTTTCCATCCTCACTATTGGGTAAAGAATTGTTTGGCCAGAAAAAGATCAAATTTATAAAAGCTTTTCTGTGCAACGTATGGAAACACCAGTAGGGAAAAAAAAAAGAAGTATTGATCTTTGAGATAAACCTGTAAATTTTCTTATTAAGTCACTTTCTCATTCAAGCCTTTATTTGAGACTCACTATGAAATATCCCAGGATGTAAGAGTGAACAGAGATTTAGCCAGAATCTCACTTTAAAAACTAGAGGAGGGAAGTAGCTGAAGACTGGGCAATGGCAGTCTTGGAAGTCCCGCTCCCAGACAGATCCGAGACCGCGGTACCCCCGCGGTAGAACGGATCAGGGTGGTGGGCTCCGGGTCCTGAGGGATGGAGGGGTCTAAGACATCCAGCAGCACCATGCAGGTGAGCTTCATGTGTCAGTGCTGCAGCCAGCCTCTGAAACTGGACACAAGCTTCAAGATCCTGGACCGTGTCACCATCCAGGAGCTCACAGCTCCATTACTTGCCACAGCCCAGCTGAAACCAGGAGAGACCCAGGAGGAAGAGGCTAACTCAGGAGAGGAGCCATTTATTGAAACTTGCCAGGATGGTGTCTCTCACAGATTCATCCCCTCGGCCAGGATGATGTCCACAGAAAGTGCCAACAGCTTCACTCTGATCGGGGAGACATCTGATGGCGGCACCATGGAGAACCTCAGCCGAAGACTAAAGGTCACTGGGGACCTTTTTGACATCATGTTAGGCCAGACAGATGTGGATCACCCCCTGTGTGAGGAATGCACAGACACTCTCTTAGACCAGCTAGACACTCAGCTCAACGTCATTGAAAATGAATGTTAGAACTACAAATGCTGTTTGGAGATCTTAGAGCAAATGAATGAAAATGACAGCGAACAGCTTGGATTAGAGATAAAGAAGCTGGCATTAGAGGAGGAGAGGCTGATCCAACAGCTGGAAGATGTGGAAAAGAACCAGAAGATAGTGGCGGAAAATCTCGAGAAGGTCCAAGCTGAGGCTGAGAGGTTGGATCAGGAGGAAGCTCAGTATCAAAGGGAATACAGTGAATTTAAAAGACAACAGCTAGAACTGGATGATGAGCTTAAGAGTGTAGAAAACCAGATGCATTATGCCCAGATGCAGCGGGACAAGCTGAAGAAAACCAACGTCTTTAATGCAACCTTCTATATTTGGCATAGTGGACAGTTTGGTACAATCAATAACTTTAGACTGGGTCGGCTGCCCAGTGTTCCTGTGGAATGGAATGAGATTAATGCTGCTTGGGGCCAGACAGTGTTGCTGCTCCACGCCCTGGCCAATAAGATGGGTCTGAAATTTCAGAGGTATTGACTTGTTCCCTATGGAAACCATTCATATCTGGAGTCTCTGACAGACAAATCTAAGGAGCTGCCGTTGTACTGTTCAGGGGGGCTGTGGTTTTTCTGGGACAACAAGTTTGACCATGCAATGGTGGCTTTCCTGGACTGTGTGCAGCAGTTCAAAGAAGAAGTTGAGAAAGGCGAGACATGTTTTTGCCTTCCTTACAGGATGGATGTGGAGAAAGGCAAAATTGAAGACACAGGAGGTAGTGGTGGCTCCTATTCCATCAAAACTCAGTTTAACTCAGAGGAACAGTGGACAAAAGCTCTCAAGTTTATGCTGACAAATCTTAAGTGGGGTCTTGCTTGAGTATCCTCACAGTTTTATAACAAATGACTTTCTTTTTTCCTTAGCAGTTTGTTTGCCTTAAAGGCTTTCAATTTTGTTTTGTTTGGAAAAAAAAAAAGAAAGTGTTATATTTGGGCACTATTAAACAGCATATGTTTACAATACAAAAAGAGGAAAAAATCCACAAAAGCCACTTTATTTTAAAATATCATATAACAGATAGTTTCCAGAACTACAACATGCCATGTATAGCATCTGGTCTTTGTCACAGTTTTGACTCTTAACCCCATGCCTTCCTTTCCCTTTGTCCCCTCAAAACAGATAATTTAAGTTTGCTTTTTTTTTTTTTTTTAACTGAGTTGAATTGAGATTGATGTGTTTTCACCGGAGTTTGTCTCTCAACTTCATGTGCTTAGAACATGAACTAGAAACTTTTGTCTCCACTGAGAGGACAAGAAGTGTGAGATGCTCAGTTGGATAACATGAGAAAATGACACAAGCTTTGGTCACCATGTGATGTGATCAGAAGCTTGAAATTTTACACTTCTTACTTGGTTCTAGTACTAAATACCTGCTCTGCTCTATGTTAAGAGATATGAAATGGTGTTTGATACTGTTTGAGACCTTGGTGGAGAGATTTAATTATTTGTAATAAAAGATCAACTGCAGTCTGATGACTGCCCAGAGGTGCACTGTTGGGTTTTCCTTTAACTAAAATAGAGTACTTTGTATTCTGGGAGAATTGAGTTCAAGTGCAGGTATGTGGAAAGTCTGTTGAAATATGTGTAGAGGTGGGTGTTAGATTTTTAAAAAGACTCTTAATGGAAAAATAGATACCTGTAGAGAAAGCCCTATTTGTGTAGCTCTTCATAACAGAACAGAGATGTTAAACTAATTTTAAGGGGAAATAAAGTCAACATCCTTGATGTTCAGTCAGGGTCACCCATATGGTCTCAGTATTTGAGCCCCTGGTTAACACTAATTTCCATGTCTGAGGTTCTGTCTTAATAAAATGAACAGTTAAAGAAAAGCCATAAATACCTTGTTAAACAAAAATAAACTAATTTCACTGATTAAAAAAAAATTGAAGATACTTAATAATGAAATAGTATGTTTTCTTTCCAGACTTTTAAATTTGTAATGTTGTCATTGTCATGCTTGTGTGAAAGTAAACTATGTATAGAAGTTGAGGGCTGGTGAAATTAAACAATTTCTTCCTTCAAAACGAGCTAAATGTTGATGCAATTGGAATTTGCAGTGTATTGAGAACAACATTAAAATATTTAATTAATAAGAACCACCACTAGGTTATAAGATCTTGTCTATAGAGTTGTTCTCAGTTGATTATTTCATTATTTTAGTGATAGCAAATAAAACATGTTTTCCCCTGTTTCTGAATAACAACTTGGCAATAAGATAAATACTTGAGGTGTATCAATGTGGTTAAAAGAATTAAATAAAAAGACATCAATCTTAGAAATGACAGTTTCTGAGCCTTTTTTTTTAGAATTTTATTTTATTTTTAATTTATTATTTTACTTTACAATATTGTATTGGTTTTGCCATACATTGACTTAAATCCTCCATGAACCTTTTAAATAATGTATTTACCTCTCAGTATAAATTTGGGAAAAGGAATTTTTTTCTGAATTATCCTGATATAATAATCGCCTCAAATCTCTACTTTGCTTAACTATGAAGATGCAACCTGAGGGCATTTAGTGCATTATTGTCAATTTTCAAAGTACTAAATTGCCCTGAAGAGGCCTTGAAAAGGTAACTATGCTGTGACAGCAACCTAACTTATCACCCTGCAGTGATTCAGGGACTGCAGTAAATCGGACTAAATATTTTTAACAATGCCTCCCTGGATTAAGAGACTATCTCTTGGGCAGCTCTGGAAGGTGCAAGTTTTCTTAATAGAATTCTCCCTCTTATGCCTTTTATAATATTGGTAAGAAATTCAGTGCATGTTATCCTAATTTATCTCTCGATTTTAAAGTATAGCTTTCCCAAACAAATCAGATTCACTCTGTTTTTCAATTACTGTGCATGAAAGATATTCTTAAATTATGGAAATCCATTCTTAGGCTTTCAATTATCTTAATTGTTTATCTCTAAGAAGTGCACGTTTAGCAATACCTTTTAAAGTTGCTGAATGTTCAGACTGCAGACAGCAACACAGAATGTGCTGGGAGGTGCTGCAGGTCAATTTTCCCAGATGAAGTTTAGCACTAGAAAAGGCAGGCCCATAGCGATTCCAATTTCTCACTGGACTCTGTGTCTTTACATGTGTCCAGTACACATCCCTGTGCTCTCTTCAAGAGAGATGAATGTACCTGAAAATTGCTACCATCTGTGATCCAGGCCTGAAATGCATTCTTATGGCAACTGTGCGATTCTAGGAATTCCAGTAACTATACTGACGCCATGTAGAGTCATTTGTAGAGCATCATTAGAACGTGTTGCTGGCTGTTACTATTATCAAAAGGGACAACAGAGACTCTTAAAGTTCAAAATCCCATTCTTTTTAGTTAAGGGGTCAAATGTGTGCGTGTGCTCAATCACTCAATCGTGTTCGACTTTGAGACCCTATGGACTGTAGCCCACCAGGCTCCTCTGTCCATGGGATTTCCCAGGCAAGAATACTGGAATGGGTTGCCATTTTTTTCTCCAGGGGATCTTTCTGACCCAGGCATCAAGCCTGTGCCCTTGTGTTTCATGCATTGGCAGGTGGATTCTTTACCACTCTACCACTGGAGCCGGGGATGGTTGGGCGAGGGGTGGCAAATAGGCATCATTAAAATAGGCAATGCTAAGTTGGAAAGGGAAGTGCAGCTTTGGAAGAGTGAGTTCTGGTTTGAATATTGTATTCATTAGTTATTAACCTAATAGTTTTCAACTGTGAAGTAGATGTGATTATACTTAACTTGATGTAATAATGTGTTTTTATTTATTTATTTTTTAACTTTTTATTAGTTGGAGGCTAATTACTTAACAATATTGTAGTGGTTTTTGTCATACATTGACAAGAATCAGCCATGGTTTACATGTATTCCCCATCCCGATCCCCCCTTCCACTTCCCTCTCTGCCCAATCCCTCTGGGTCTTCAAAGTGCACCAGGTTTGAGCACTTGTCTCATGCACCCAATCTGGGCTGGTGATCTGTTTCACCATAGATAATATACATGTTTTGATGCTGTTCTCTTGAAACATCCCACCCTCGCCTTCTCCCACAGAGTCCAAAAGTCTGTTCTATACATCTGAGTCTCTTTGTCTATTTTGCATATAGGGTTATCATTACCATCTTTGTAAATTCCATATATATGTGTTAGTATACTGTAATGGTCTTTATCTTTCTGGCTTACTTCACTCTGTATAATGGGCTCCAGTTTCATCCATCTCATTAGAACTGATTCAAATGAATTCTTTTTAATTGCTGAGTAATATTCCATGGTGTATATGTACCACAGCTTCCTTATACACTCGTCTGCTGATGGGCATCTAGGTTGCTTCCATGTCCTGGCTATTATAAGCAGTGCTGTGATGAACATTGGGGTGCACGTGTCTCTTTCAGATCTGGTTTCCTCAGTGTGTATGCCCAGAAGTGGTATTGCTGGGTCATATGGCAGTTCTATTTCCAGTTTTTTAAGAAATCTCCACACTGTTTTCCATAGAGGCTGTACTAGTTTGCATTCTCACCAACAGTGTAAGAGGGTTCCCTTTTCTCCACACCCTCTCCAGCATTTATTGCTTGTAGACTTCTGGATAGCAGCCATCCTGACTGGCATGTAATGGTATCTCATTGTGGTTTTGATTTGCATTTCTCTGATAATGAGTGATGTTGAGCATCTTTTCATGTGTTTGTTAGCCATCTGTATGTCTTCCTTGGAGAAATGTCTGTTTAGTTCTTTGGCCCATTTTTTGAGTGGGTCATTTATTTTTCTAGAGTTGAGCTGGAGGAGTTGCTTGTATAGTTTTAATAATGTGTTTTTAAACAAGCAACTAAGCACAGTGCTTGGAATAGCGTTTTCCAAATTTATGTTATCTGTCGTTGCTATTGCTAGCTGTTAGCATTATTAGTCCACATACAGACAAAACGAGGCACAGACAAGTTAACTGAAGGAAATGAGTCTGAAAGTTGGTCTTAATTCAGTGTATTTCTGCGTTGAAGCATCTTAGTAACAGAGAACAGAATCAGGATAAGATTTCCCTGTATTTTCTAAGAAATAATTTGAAGCAGCATAAATTTCCCTGAAACTCTACATTGTGTTCTTTACTTGTGAGTGTGTACATAGTAGAGTCAAAAACTTTCAAGGAACCTCCACAGTCCTGAAAGATGAGGGGGTGCCTAAGACTATGACCAGTCCAGCTTCTTAATGGAAAGCTTAGCAGAAATTCACTAAGGCCTTTATTTATGGCATTGCATTAGTAATATCTATTGCTTGTCTGTGCTTCTCTTTAAGGGTATCCCTTGAAATATGGATTATTATAAAATTTTGTTGTGGGAAACCTCTTCCCTGAATATAAATTACTTGGTGTTAAAGCAATGGATTACAAATCAGAATCTTTAGAAATTTCATCATCCATGAAGCTGATTTCACATACCATCTGCTAGATGAAGCCATCCTAACATAATTCTCTATTTCTCTGAAGCATCAACACATTCACACAGATACTTG